ACAAACACAGCAACAAATAGAAGATCTACAATCCTTACTGATCACCTTGCAGCAGAGAACTTGGTCAATGGATGTTGATGTTCCAGGATCGGCGAGGTCTCCTCCCCCTCTCAGCGTCTCACTGAAAAAAATAAGAAGAAAGTCAGCAGACCAGCCCCAAATCCCACCATCTTATTAAAGTGTATGCATAGACAAAACCCTTTTTTAGCTTTGCCTCTTGCTCTGATGGCAACTGTATAGTTTGGGATTTTCTATCACTTTTTGTCTTTCATGTAGGAGGGTGAGGGGAGGGGAAGAGGAGCTAGGCCAGCACAGATTAGACACACCTAGAAAAGGAGGGGGCTATGACATGTAAGGACGGAGGGGGGTGGTGCTAGGTAATTGACTCTTCCTGGAGTTGTCAAATTTTCAAAGCACGTTCGGAGGGCCCGTTGCAAGTGAATACATAAGAATTTACAGAAAGGAAAATAACATTAAAAGTAAACATGTAAAATACTTGACATTTCTGTACCTTTTCCTGCAATTTTAATTAATTTTGAAAGAATCGGTGACAGGTCCTCTTTACATGTCAATGCAGCTTGATGAATCAGGGCAACTATCTCTAAACACGGCACTGCCCCTTTAAATCCGGGAGAGACCCGCCGTATGATAGCGCAGCCGCAGACTGATAAGCACGGGAGCCAATGGAACGGGGTAGAAACGCCTCTTCAGCCAATGTAGAGGGAAAGATAAGCCTCTGTGCTCCGTTCTGACCAATCACAGCGAGCCTCCCCTCATAGGCCCGTTCACCGGTTTGGTTAAGCTTAGAAACGGACTTTCCTAGTACCCACCATTTTCGAACAGTTAAAATGTATAGGAAAAGCAATGATTAAAACCGTCAGGTCCCATTTTGTTGCCTCTAGTCAGTTGCAGCCACGCAGAACACAGCGGTCTCCAAGAAAATGTCTGCCCTGAGGGAACGAGTGAGGGAGACGCGCGCTCTGGCGGATGGAGGGATGTGGGAGTCAGGTGACCGGTCAGCTGATCAGGCGGCTGTCATGGCTCTTCGTTGCTCTTCTGCTCCGCTACCGGATTCTCTATCCGCGGATATGCAGAACATGCGGCTGTTGTCCGGGGAGGTATGGAGACTGAATGTCCGGAAGTGACTGTCCATGAGTTCAGAATGACAGCTAGTAGGGCTCCCCTTCTCCCGCTGTTGTTCCTTCCGTCCACACACAGCAGTGACTTGATCGGGAGGTACCACAGCGGCCAGAAGGGGGTAGGTAAGATTTACTGATCAGGACCACTGTGCAATGTGCATTGAAACTGATGCTAAAAAGGGGCAGAGGTTGTCACCCTATAACAGGAAGTGCCTGAACAATGATAATGTCAAGATCGTGAGGGATTATTTAACCAGTTGACATCCGCGGTGTTAAACCCCCTTCCCATCCAGGCCATTTTTCAGTATTCAGCGCTGCGGTACTTTAACTGACATTTATTCCGTCATGCAGCGCTGTACTGAAATGAATTTTATACCCTTTTTTGGGGACAGATAGAGCTTTCTTTTGGTGGTATTTATTCACCACTGGGGGTTTTATTATTTTTTTACTATATTAAGGAAAAATTACCAAAATTTAAAAAAAAAAACAGTTTCCCCTATATTAAATGATAAAACATTTATTATTACCCAATTTTTTGGTAAAATATAAAAGATGGGGTCACGTCGGGTAAAAAGACACTAAACATGTCAAGCCTTAAAATTGCGTGCGCGCGCGAAACCTCAAAAAACGATAATACCCAAAATTGGCCCTAGGCGACGCTTTAAAAGCTGTTACCGCTCATCAGTTTAGTGTTATCAGTGATTGATGGCCCTAAAATGATT